TGAAATAAACTTTTCTGTTATTGAGTAAAAAAATTTGGCAAAAATAGACAGAAATTATTGGAGAAATATATTGTTTGAATTACCTTGAATAGTAATTTAACAGGTATGTTTGGACCTTTAACAGGAACACATGGTATTTTCTCTAGATCTTTAAGATTTACTAACTAATTCAGGTCAAGACTGTAGCAATGCTTTTCTGCTGGCAGGTTTTTTGCTTGTTTGGTTGTTTTTTTAATGTGTGCCAGACAGAAGAGGAGGTGCATATGGCATCCACCATCATATTCAAGCAACAGCGTATTGACTTGCAGCTTCTCTCTCATAAATGTCTGTTTGAAAAAATAGAAAAATGCATAGGACTACAATGATATTCAAGCTTAAAATCACCTACTGAGCTGTGAGTTATTTAAATATTAATTTACTGTTACCGAAGATCCTATGAAGAAGCAAAATAATTTTCTAGAAGTTTCCTCCTTTGGTCATAAAACAATTTCTTTTTTGTTGACCATTCAATATTCTGATGTAACAAAGGACTTGTTTTTTCATTGTACAATAATTGTACCTTTTGGGGCAAAACTTGGACCTCTTCCTCTGCAAATAAGGACAAGACCATTGAAGTTTACCCATTAAGCTACACCCTTGTAGAGACCACAGATCCCTAGAAAGCTGTGTACTTTAAAAAATGACCAGCTGTATAGATAAAGGCTGACTACATGGTGAACACTATCTTTTTTTTTGTGCTCTGAAATTTTTGTATCACTGGAAACTACACTTTCTATTCTAGTGAGGCAGAGCTGATGCACCTTTCTGCTTCACATGGATGCTGAAGGGAAAATTTGCTGTTCCTTGTCTTTCTTATTCACTTTATTGGAAGCTATTAAAATTAAAACATGTAGTTCTTTCTTTTAAAACTATAAACTGGTTTTGAAAAGGCCTTTTATATAAAATCAGTAAATAACTATATTGTAGATACACCTACTGCTTTATATGCATATATCTAGAGAACTGGTAATTATCATTATAATATCTCTAACTGTTCAAATATCTGAAGAACTCTAAAATAACTTATTATATTTTAAACATAACTGACCTACCAAGAAAATTCCATATAATGGAATGATCCTTCTGTGGGATAAATGACTAACTTAGTAGGAGGTGGACTGATTTACACAGTCTCTAAAACTGACTCATCTTGTGGATAAAATCTAATACACAGATTTATGTTGAAATTAATGTGCTTAAGTTTATGTGAATGTGTAATTGGCAATGATTCAGACTTTTCACAAAAACAAAATCAAATTAACTCAAACGTAGGCTCTGCTGTCTCCCTCTGGCTTGGATCCCTTGCCACTTCTGCCTTCAAAGGGCTGGTTCGGAAATGTTGTAGTTCCTTTCTGAGGGGTGTGATGGGAATGTGTATTATGCAATTGGTTTCTTTGCAGATCACACTCTTCTCTCTCACAGGCAACAAGAAAATTATCCTTCAGCATTTATTGAATATTGGATTTTACAAAGGTGCTGAACAAAGACCAATGTTTTCTGTTGTAGCTTCACCTTGATTTTAAAACAGATTTATTAAAATACATTTTTTACTGTTTAAAATGAATACAGAAACAGTTCAGTCAAATAAAGTGATGCAAGTCCTTTGCATTCACAAAATAGAATATGTATACCATGGGTGCTGATTTTGTTTATAATTTCCTTTTTACTTCTTATCGGATATACAAATGATAACAGACAAAATACATCCACTAGAAAAGGCCTTAGGAGTCAGAAGTAGAGAAAGACTTTTCTGGAGCATCCTAAGAATGACTGAGGGTTCTTCATTTGTTTTATTTTTTCAATTGCCAATTCAATTCAAGGAAAAAGAAAGCTATTGAGAGACTAGAGTAAAGGAGGAAACTCTTTCTCAGAGTTCTCTTAGGTAGAGAAGGACTGATGATCACTCACAGCATAGAATTTTTCCCATCACCTTTGTGGAAATCTTGCTAGGTTACTACCACCTTGTGTGTTTAGACTGATCAGAAACCAACCAGTTGTTCTAAAAGGTGCTGTTCTCTGATAAACTCACAGAGAAACAGTGTGGTAAAATAATAATAATAATAATAATGTTGTGGATTATCTGTAATTGCTTCCTTAATAAAGGGCTTTGAGATGTAGTGACAAAAAATTACTAACTTGCCAGCATGACTGTTGCAGTCCATAAAACCAGTTGCTAATGGTTTCCAGGTGCCAATAAAGTAGGCTGTAATGCGGGTGGGTACCACAACCATGCAGCATGCCTGTAGGAACAGACTTGCAAAGTGATGACGCCCTAATATTCATTTACATTTCATTACAATACTCTCAACTTTTAGAATTTTTGAACTGCAGGGGAAACCTTCATTCATCACCTCTCCCTCCTGCAAAGAACTCCATAAACTGAAAGCTGTTTTGAGCATCTTTGGTGCTTTTTCTATTCAAGGTCACAGTCTCTTCCTGTTTTACTTACATACTCCACAAAACTAACCTTGCTTTTTGTTCCTGCGAGATCCATTAACCTCAAAATGGCAATTATTGGCCCACCTAAAATGAATAAATTAGAACAAACTAGTTTTGCTACCATAAGAAGTCAAAACTTCTCACAGATCTGAAACCAGACTTGTAAACTTCGTGTAGGTGACCATGTATTTGTCAGAAGTAAAAAGACAAAAGTACTGTGTCTCTTCATAGTAACTCTAATCTCGCTTATACATTAATGATATTCAGGTGGGCTCTTATTCCCATAACTCTCTATGATGCTTCTAATATTGCTGAGCCAAATGCATATCGATGCATACCCTTTTTGCAATTTTAAAAGTCAAAGCTTGCATAACAGTTCAGTGGCAAGTGTACCTGAAGCCAACCACCTAGATATTTCCTTATCATAAAAGTCTATGTGAACCTTGATTCAACCTTGTATCACAAGCCAAAGGTTTTAGCATTGCTTGTCTATGCCAAAAGGCATCACAGGACTACAAGTCTTCATGATAAAACTCTACAGACATGACACCTCAAAAGATCATAAGAGTTATTTAGATTTCCATGGCATACATCCCAGGAATAGGATGGGCCTTTCAGTCATGATGCCTGAACTAGTACCGTGGTATCTTCTAGCCGCTGCCTGAACTGAGTGTCTGGAGTTGAGATGTAGAGTAAGACAATATGTGTGTGAGTGGACACACAAGTGTGTCAATAGATATATTTATGGAAGAGTTCTTAAGGCTCTCATAAGGAACAGTTTGTTATTTCTAAATCCAACGGTTAAAATTATTTGTTAAATTTGCCCTTGTTAATTAGTTGTTTTAACACCACACTAATTCTCTTACTGACTCATTGCCTTTAGCGTATATTGTTTGAAGTATTGTTCCCTCTTTCCATCCTACAACCTTCTCGGACAGATGTGCAATGGTGTTGACAGAAAAACTTTCAATGAATCATGAGAACTTTGGAAGGGATTACAGCACAAGAGATGATCTGGGAGTCCAGTCTCTAAGTTAATTGGGATAATCCCTCGGATTCCATGGAAATAAACAAAATGCTCCAGAAGTCAAAAGAACAGTGCCAATTTGAACCATTTGAGATTCTGGCTCTTTATTTGTGAAGAGGGGAGAAATTGATGATATGTGGTATTTAGGTCTGATGCACAGGTGCCTACATGTGGAAAATAATTTTTTAAGAGGCTGATATGAACGCTATTGTGTGATTGAGCTACACATGGATCAAAACTCCTTTCCTTTCCACTGGTGGTTTGAAAAATTACCTATGCTAAAGACTTTTGACATAACAATTATGTTGGGAGAGGAAAAATAAATTGTTGATGTCCCAGTTAGAATTCGAGAAACAAAAATGTGCAATTAGGTTTTTATCACAGTACAAGAAATGTTCAATCATGTTTAAGCAGACCAGCTTGGATGCATGCTTTTTATTAGGCAACATCATAAGCAAAGCTATATCTTTTTCAACAGAAGTCTAAGTCCTCCAGTGGAATGGAAGTGCACACATTTGTTGTTTTGTAATGTTTCTTAGCACAGTCTTTCATTATGGATTTATGCACTGATGTGGAAAAATCAAGCAGAGTTCTTGATTCATGTTAACATTTACAGCACTTAATGGAGGGGTAAAGTAAATAAATATCGCGATGAATTAGTAGGCATGGCAAGAAGGATTTGGAATGTGGTTGACTTCTTAACCATGTCTTTCTGCTCACCTCCTTCAGGCTTCACTGGTCCATCAGACATCACTTTCCTGAGGGCTAGTTGACTTTGGTCTTTGTTGTCATTGGCTGGTGGAGGCAGATTGTCAGACTGAGTTCTCTGAATAGGGAGGACTCCTGCTATGCTGTGTCTGTGCTGCTTCCTGGCATGATTAGACTGACCGCTTTTATGTGCTGCTGTGGCAGTGTGGGTGAAATGGAAACCCAGAGTATGTATCCTCAGATGGAACCAGCTTAAATGTTATTCATGCAAACAGAAGTGGTTTTTTTCTGTATTTAAGTAAGTAGTGTTTTCAAACACCAAAGAGACACCACATGCACAGCATTAAAGAGTATTAAAACTGGCTGTTTCTTTATTAATGATGGTGAAGACAAGGGAAATAATTTTCCCCCAGTGTTTGCATTATACCATGGTAAGTTTATGGCATATCAACAAATCCTGAAGACAAACACAATGATTCCACAGTCAGAGAATTTTAATTTGCCATCAACTAAACCCTCAAATAGAAATCAGATGCTGATCTGAAGTATACTCTGGACTGCAATCCTTTTGATTGGAAATTTTTTAATTTATTAGTCTGTTTATAGTTGTCAGATGAATCCTGTCTTGACCTCTAATCAATCCATGGCACAAAAATTCCTAAAAAAATTGAACTGACTGTCATCTGACTTAGCTCTTAATTCCCTTTGACTTTGCTAACTTGATAACACTGTTGAAATTTGAAGTTGCTATTGTCTTTGTGTGTTTAATGATTTTGCTTTTAATGTGTTTAACATTTTTGTCTATTGCTGTTCTGCTCATCACTAACATGATTTTGTCTGAGATATTAAGAAGGTTGCCCTATATTTCCTTTCAAAAAAACCCTATATATTTACAGTCATGTTTCAAAAATAGAAATCTCAGCCATGCAGTTAAAAAACATTTTTCTTTAACTTTAAATCTTCTTTTGTGTATATAGTACTGTCCTTCCTGATTACTACTTATAGATACATCTTGTTAACGTGCTCTCAGTACTTGTGTGCAACTTGAGGAGCTGGCAGCCGCATCTCTGCAGTTTTTGATTATTTCATTAGCAGTCATTTAGTGACATCAAAACACCACCACACAACAGAATTCTTTGTGAGTCATGCACAACCATGGAACATCATGGACCATGAGTGAAGGGACTGATGGAGAAACAGCCAGTTTCACTGCAGTATATATAAATGAAAATAAATATATAAATAAAAGACTTCTAAATACAAGAGTATATTGTAATTAAATGTATTCACACACAGGCACACAAAGAAAGACATTGAACAGAGTGAGCACAGTGTGCCAAGAACAGAAAAAAAAAAATAGCCAAAAAGGGAAGAACAGCAGGGAAAAAGGCAACAGATGAACATTAAGCTGCCATGCTGAGGAATTTATTTGCGTCTTTTACTTGGTTGAAGGCGAAGCTGTTGGACAGCTGCTTCAGCAGCGGCGATGGCTGCCCCAGCGTCTTCAAGGTGAGTTTGAGTGACGCTGGTTTTGCTTTGGCTGCGAGATGGACCATGAGAGCGTAGATGTCCTTCAGAGGAAGATTTGGAGCTCCCTGGACTGCTGTGGGATTTCTCAATGGTGGGAACCTGCATGTCTACCAAGAAAATGAAGAAGCACAACTGCTACATTTATTAAAAACAAACAGACAATTTAATTTTCTTTTTCTTGACTGGCCTTTCTAGCTGAATTTCAGAACAAGGAATAAAGATTAAGCTGTGCAATGCTATTTAAAGTCTCAGGATATATTGTGATTAGGAAACACTTATGAAGCACCATTTTCTACTTCCCCACTGTTCCCTGGCCCAGGGAATAATTAATTTACTATTGGGTTTCTGTCACCTGTGAATTATGCCTCCTGTGCTGGGTTACACTGGTGGAAAGATGGGGTAGCCTAAAAATTAATGTGTTTTCCACTTTCTACTTCTCTAGTATGTACCACTTTCTACTTCTCTAGTATGCAGACACTAACTAGCATCACTTACACCAGTACCAAATACTTTGCCAATGCAAGCAGTTTTATTCTGATGAATGTCCTGGTCAAAACCATAGCCTAACTTAAAATAGCTTCTACACTAACCTTTAGTTTAGATCTAGCTCTTATATAGATACCGATCCCTAGCAAAACATTATACAGAGAAATAGAGTAGAGATGAAGCACAGTCTTATCACTCTGAGGCTTTCATCTGGATGCTATTTGGGATGGCTTTTGCTTTGGTATGACATATACTGTGTTTTAAGTGAGCAACTGGCCACCAGCTACTTAGTATAAAGAAAAAAAAGTAGAAATCAATTTCTTGGAACAGCAGACGCTGAGATGCATTCTGCTTTTGTAAAGACTAGTATAATTCTACTATATCAGCTCCACTGATTTCCAATACAAGTGAGATATGCTACAGCCCATTATCATTGTCTGGAAACGCATATGCATTATTATAGCATAATTGTTATTCTATAAAATATTAATGTGACATTTCCAGAAGATAAAATGCCATAGAATATTTAAGGAACACGAAAAATAGAAAGCTAAATATGTATTGAATTTGGCCAAGGCTACCAGAAAAATTAAAAGGGCACAGAATCTATAGTAGTTGAGCAAAGCACTTAGAGCCTGTAAGCTGCTGTTTTAAGGACACAGTAAACTGGCTGGCACTGATCGAGCCAAATTAAGCCTTGGCTGCAATGAATTAATCACAGACATAAATACGTTTTTAATAAAAGTGTATACAAACTTCATAGCACTAACTTTATTTTTCTATTAGAACTTACACATAGCAAAGGTTTTCCTATCATCTGGGAAAACATTTCATATCAGGTGCACCCAGTCATTCCTACCCTTGGAGGGGTCCGGGAAGATTCCATGACTTCTGCTCTTGATGACAGATGGTTTTGGAGATTGTTGGCTACTCTGTCCGGAATGAGATTTCCCGTGATCAATGTTTTCACTCTGTTCTTTCAGAGGATACCACCGAGGAGTGTTGTCAAGCTGAGAGACACTGGATAACTCGATCAATACCTACAAATAAATCCAAGTACAACATATGGCCTGTATCTCATCTATTAACGATTGTGTACAGTAGAAGAGTCTATAGTTGTGTCACTAGAGGTTGCAATCAAATGTAAGAAGTTAGGGGTATAAGGCTTTATGCTGGCAGATTCATGACTCTCTGCCCATGCTCTGACCTCACCTGATATAAGCCAGCTGTCATCCCAAACCCACATTTGTTAGCCTATCGATGTGTCTGAACTAACATGTCTTCTCAATAGGACCTCAGGAAGAACTATGAGCTGGCTGCATACCAAGACGGCTAGATAGTTTAAAGGTTAGATTGTGAGCACTAGCTTGAAAGCTAGACTAAAAAGACATCTAGTCATTCTGCCTCTGTATAGAAATATTCTAATAGAAGAATCAGACAGTGTTATTTTCTTCCTTAGTAAAGGGGCAAATAACTCCGTATTTGTTTCTAATAAGGTCTTAAAAAATATGACACTGCTGCTTGTTGATTTTTTAAAAAAATACACATATGCAGAATTTGTAACAAAAATAAAAGAGTAGGGATATGTTTGCACTTCACTAAAATAATAGAATTCAATTATATTTGGCCTTGAAACTTCACTGGAAAAAAAAAAAAAACAACCCAGAGATGCAATGGCAATGTGGAAATGAAATTAGCAACTTGGCTAAAAAACCTGCATTGTAGATAAAATCTGCTCTAGACCACCTGCATTGTTAGCAGAATCTTTGTGAAATTTCTTACCAAAAAAAAAAAAGTGCACTGGGACCAATAATGACCCTTCCTCCCTTAATGGTCTTGCAGCTGAGAGGGCCAAGCGACGTAAAGTACTAGAGTCATCACCCCTTAATGGTCTTGCAGCTGAGAGGGCCAAGAGACATAAAGTACTAGAGTCATCATAGAATCTCGAACAAAGGAACATACAAAATTAGCCTTGCATTTGGCTCTAAGGTGAGAGGGTTAAAACTAATGTCAGGTAGGGAAGTTTTAAAACTACTAGAAAATTAAAGGGTGCAATTACCTCAGGGAACAAAGCCTTTGTCAGTTTATTACAAAACCTGAGATAAGAGAAAGCCTTTTCAAGTTTAGGGATGGGGAAGTCTCTTCACAACTGATTGTTTCTGGAAGGTTAAAAGCCTTTTTTCTTTCCTCTTTTCTTTCAGCGTCTTAGGGTGTATATGACCTGGCTTGGACTTTCTGGTTAGGTCTATACTTAATCTGAAGAGGGTCATGCAAGTGGTGCTGGCCTTATTCAAGTAAGTCCTTAGGGTTCAATTTGGATACCCCATATCTGATGTTATGGTGCAGGATTACTCTGGACATCCTGGTCCTGAAATACACTGTATAGCCCTTTCCGTTCCTTTTTTCCATGAAGAACTGTTTTCATGTTTAAGTCTGAATGATTTAACAAATAAAATAGTTTTAGAGGTTGAAAATATTTGAAGGCAAAGGTTTAAATTTTCCTGTTGAAGCAGCTGCTGGAGCATTCATTTTCTAAACGTCATAAATAACAATGATGTAAATATTCAGTAAAGCCCTGCATTTGGACAAACATGCTGAACTCAACAAGAGTACTGATGCAGTATGCAGGAAATAAGTAATCATGTAGCTGCTTCCTTACATTTATTTTAGTAATTGTTCAAATAGTGACACTGATTGCTCAGTTTTGTAGTTACACAAAGGGGAACTGGAGCTGAACAGAGTTCCTTTTTTGTGAAATACAAATGCAGAATGAGCAGAGATACTCTGAGTTACTCTGTATATGAATGATCGATTTTCCTGGACTTTTGTTTCTGATTATAATCCTCTTTTGTAATAACATTTTTAATTACTTTTTTGACATCACAGTTACTTCTGGTAATTCTGTATTTTACATGCATGTATTTGTTTATTTGCTTTTAAAAGTAAAAGAGAGAGCATACTTATTCCCATGATCACTCCTCTGATTTATTATTAATTACAAGATTTTGCCTTCAGTCATATTTTGGTAATGCTGTTGCTATTTTGTAGCATCCAAAATGAGACCTTGATCAGCAAGACCAAATTACTCACACTTGCAGATACTTGTGCATGTGTTAAACTATGGCTTGATGGCAAAATTTAACCCTTTAATAATTTACAGAGACTGATACCTCCTCAGCCTTCCCATGTTATGTTAAAATCAAGACAGACAGCTTATCAGTCATAACAAGAATTCCCCCTTCAGTCACTGTGAAGGCTGTTACTGTCTCAGACTCAAAAAAAAAAAATCTATTTTCAGTGAAGTAACATTGTGTGGAGTCCTAAATGAACTTGCTGACAGTCAATCGAGATAAAGATAAGGCATGTTTCATGTGTGAATGAAAGAAATCATGACCATTGGTTATGAAGTCAGGAATAAAACCATCATGTAAAAAAGGTTTACTTAACACATGTACCATACCTTGGAAAAGAACAGTCTCCAAATACTAGCATGCAGTTAATCAGCTTTCTAACTAGTCAGGATTAGAAAAGAGGAAATAAGATACTCACTTCACCAAGGAAGTCATTCGAGGAGAATCTATCATAATCCCAGACAGTCACTTCCAGTGTTTTCTTTTTCAGCTGCAATTTAAATCAAAGGATAATTAACCCCGCTGCCATTATAAACTTCAGATCAAGTCTTTATGGTGGTTTCTATTCATTATCTCCTCCTTGTACTCTTTTTCATAGTGACAGCTAGGCAGCTTTTGTCCTCCCATCAACCTTGATCTCAGAAAAATAATTTGGGGCTATTATTTGTTGACAAGACAAACGGGCATGTGCTTGGCCCTGATTTAGGAATTTCCACCACAGGAACGTGTGTCTGCTACAAGAGCGAAACTGATTTTTAAACACATGTTTTTGTATATCTGCAGCTTTTGTTGTCGTCAGATCTAAGTCACCTGAACATAAACATTTGCCTATAGTGCATCTGAGTGTGAAGTTCAAATGTACTATTTAAAACACCTCTTTATACAATCTCATCTGTGAAGACCAGGCTTTAATAACCCTGGAATTCAGCGTAGTCAGTGGGACTCGGCAAGTGATCCAGGCAAGCAGCACAAGTTGTACTGTTAGGTATTAATGACAGTTATCAAAACCCATTATCTGCAGACCTTTTTAAGCATGACAGCTGTGTCAAGCACTCTTCTTACAGTCTACAGTAAGAAACAAGTAAGTCTTTTTATATGACAAGATAGTGCATGACAGAGAAGCTGTTGACCAAATCAGCTGACCTTATTGGAAAGGTTATTCCAGGGGTCTGTGGGGAGAGGGTTGATTACAGGTGTTGTACACTGGGGCAAAAGGCTAGCAGATGGCTGGAGAGGCAGTAAGAAATTCCTGTGGCTTGAAAGAGAGAAGGACAAAATCCTGGGGGTACGGGATGTCAGCCCGAAAAGTTGTAAGTGAAGAATTTGTTGGACACTTCCAAGCATTACTAAGGAAAACAGGACTCTTTTCACATACTTGAATAAAAGAGGCAAGAACCAGAAATTTTATGTGATAATTGAGGTCATCATCCTAACAGAAGCAACACATCACTCACTGCTCTGACTATTAATTGTCTGCTTGGGACAAAGGGACAACAAAGGACCAAGTCATTGTTCAAAATTATAAGCTGTACCATTTACTGTACGTCTTATACATACTTTCAAGAAAAGCAGTGTTTGTTATTTACTTCCACTACCCCTTGGTTTAATGCAACACAGATTCAGACAGTTCTTACTAACTTTAAATTGTCTTCAAATGATAATTTAATCTCATTATTATGTATTTGGAATATCTTCTGCTCCCAGCTAACTTTATAAAAATTAGCAACTTTGCAAAGACAATGCCTTTGAAAAACAAGTTTAAATCAGCATATCCTGGAAAACCCACACAAAAGGTAATTGTACTGTTTTTTAGCATCAACAACGTACTCTTTAAGCAGGCAACAACATGACTTGAAAGCTAAGATTAAAAACAAATAAAATGAATGAAAACAATTGAGAGCAATTCTTTAATCTTTCTCTGTTTTATTCCTACATAATTAGGCAACATTCTTCTTAAACATTCTTTTTAAAAATATCCTGCAAAAATTAAGGAAATTTCAAGTTGAACAAAAAGATTCTCTTTTGAACATCCCCTACAGAATATGTGTAAAGATAATTTCCTTGACTGAATAAAATTTCTTTTCTTTGCTATTCCAAGACAGTATCAAAACTTCCACATGAAAGATACCCTGAAAAAAATTAGTTGAATAGACACTGGTCCATGCTACTTCTAGCTTCCTGGATGATATAATTTCCTGCTAGATGCTATACTAAGTACATGTATTTTTACCCTTTAAATAAAAAGGAATAACACAAATACTTTTCCAAAATGTATTGTCTCAATTGTTGCTATTTTGGGAGGACACGTCTTCTTGTTTCAAGTGATGACTGTGCAAGAGCAGAGAGAGGAATGTTTATATCCAGGAAAGGAAAAAGAACCCTAAAATCTGACAGATTTTTGGTGGAAAGGGGAAAATAGAGAAGATTTTCAAGTAACTGCAACCTTACTTTGCTAGCTTCTTTGCATTAGTATGATAATAAAGCTGCTGAAAACTTGCACCACTCTACATTTCTTTGAGTTATCTATTTTAAGCCTCTTAGTTTAACAAAGCCTTTATAAAATATTATGACAATGAAAAATCATCAAAAGAGCTTTATTAGGCATAGTGTATGAAATGAGTTTCAAAGAGGAGGAAAATTTGCTTTTCTGAAGACATATTTATATGTACCACTACTGAAGGCAAAGAACACTCCATGGCTAATGGCTTTAAAAGCAGCCATTTTACCGTCACAGCAAAGCAGGGTTCTGCCTTACATCATTCAGTTTTAGTTCATGAAACCAGAAGTTCAGCTCTCCATCAGGAATTTAACCAACAGCAATGCTGAAATGGGTTGTAGAAACTCACCGTCCATCTGACGGTGTGTTTCTGTAACCGAGCAATGTACCAACAAGAAAGTGAGAACATGTCCCTAAAAGAAGAAAAGCAGTTTACATGTGTTGTGAACCTCATTTGAGTTCTAAGCATATAATGAAAAAAAGTGTTACTAAGCTGCAACTGATTTCAGGCTTTGCCTTGTGGAAAAAATAAAATTAAATAAATCAATAAAAATTAAAAAATAAAGCCCCACGTGTCAGCATATCACTGCACTTGAACTCCAGTTAGCTTTAGGCTGCTCTGGACAACCATCATTTAAAGTAAATGAAGGCATATGCAGGAACAGCCAATATTTTCTCTTATGGAAGACGTAACCAACACCACAGGTACAGAAGTGTCTGTTTCTTGTTTTAAATGTCTGGCTAAATATGCATTACTTGAAATATCTAATACTTATTCCTTGAAAATCTCATGCAAGGGTTTGAATGAGGAAAGAAATAATTTTAATGCAGCTTGTTTTTCTCCTATGTTGAAAGTAAATTCCTATAATTATTTCAGAAATAATATAAAAGATTGCAGTCTCAGTTAGGATATTTGATGAGTAGAAATGAAGGTGTTATAGTAGATCAGGCATTATACTTACTTGTGTTTGCATTCATATTTAACATTTTATTGTACCCTTCTCTATATTGCTGTACTTCTGTACTTGGTGGTCAAAAAGACTTTTGCTACGTCACTTAGAAATTTAATTTCTCTTGTCCAAGATATTAAGTAAGATTTAAGTACCAACACCTTACTGATTCATAACAAAGCTTTTCTTACTTTTGGAAAGAAGACATAGGCTCCTCCATTACTCAAGGGTTTTGAAAATACTCTCTTTTAAAAATATTACCTTCAATTTAAGGAAACAAGCCATAGGAAAAGCTATTTGCTTTAATGAATTATATCCATCAATTAAAGAAATACTTTTATTTGCTTTCTCACAAGTAAGAAATTGAGGCAGACAAAGCCACACCTTATATTGTGGTCATACATCACACCAATGCCCTGACTAGCAACAGAACTTACATCTTTTACCATCTTCTCCTTAAATCATTCTAATGACTTGAGTTAGAAATTATTATACAATATTTGTAATACGTGTACTCAGCCTTCCTCTCAAATTGTAATTATCTCCACCACATTACTTAACAAAATCCATAAATTACTAAATATTCACAGTTTAATTTATTTTTTCTTCAACTGTCAAAGTTGAATTTGCTATGTGATAAAACTAGTCATTCTGACCTTGAAAAACTCTGTTTAATTTCAAACAGTGATCTATTTCCCACAATTATTTTCACTTTAATTTCAGCTAGGTTATGAAAAAGGAAAGTAAAATGAAAAATTGTACAACCAGCTAAAGTCTAGACAGTGATGTTAAAAGGACTATATTAGGAAATATTTAATAATACTTATTTGTTGTCAGCAAGCAAACTGTGCTTTGATGGAGGGAAACTAAATGCTTCTTTGAAGAAATAATATTTATAAAACCTCATGGATTTATGTTATGGTATGATTGCTAACTCTGTATAACTTAGTGTATGATGCAGTTTTGCATGTTTGGCGATCAGAACACTCAGTCTATCACAATTATTGTCTTGTACTTCTTTTTATATTCCTAACTATTTTGAAATATCCATTCATAAGGGTTATGAGTACAAATGATATACACTATATATACTATTGCATGGTGATGGTTCTTCAAACTGTAGAGGGTACTAATCATCAGCATGGAATTATTTGGTGATTTAGAAATGTGTTTTACTGTATATTCTCTAAGCCCGGGCTCTGAATTTTATAGGAGAAAAATCACTCACACTGGTGTCTTAGCACTAGATACAAGCCATGGAAAGGTGTGGAAGGAAATACTACTCACTGCACACACTTCTATGTGACAAGAGGACAAAAGACACAATATATGTGCTGTGCAGATGAAGCTTACATGCTTATAATCATAGGCACTGCATAACAGTTTCAGAGGAAGGGAAAAGGAGGAGATTTGCAAAAAGAAAGCAAAAGTTCAAAGAATATAATATGCGACCTAAAGGGAAATTTCATCTAATGATGGTAAAGGAATTGACATCAAAGGTATTAGAAGATTTTCTGTCATAAAAATCTATGTCCAAGAAATCCTGGACAAAGATCATTATGCAATTTAAGATCACCAAACAGCCATTGAACATCCAGCATCCAAGCACTCTTAATTACAGCTCTGTGAAATGTCACAGCAGATCCTGAAAGCAAATTAAGTAAACTGAAGAGCCTTTCTTGAATGGAAAGGTCATTTTGGAAATATTGCTAAGACTTACCAAACCTTTTCACAAAACCCAGAAGACCTAACGTTTATATTGCAGCTAAACAAACATCATTGAGTTGTTTTTTCTGATGCTTACACTGTCAATGAACTACCGTTTATGCAAGCCTACATGAAACAGCAGGCAAAACCCAGCAAACCATAACCACTACAGGGCACCTCTGAAATAAATCTGAGATATTGCCTGTCAGGTTCAGATGTGTAGGTTGTATGAGCAACCATGCATGTCCCTCTATGGGAAGGGTTTTTCTCCATGCAAAAATTAGTATCTTAATTGACGTTCCTCTCAATGAACAAGAAAAATGAATAATGAAATTTTAATTTAGGAAGATAATATTAAGGTCTTGGTGTTGTGTTGAAGAAGTATATTAAAAGCACTGGGAAATCTATTCACAAAACAGTCTGGTTATTCTGTGCTTTTTTAAGAAGTCCGGGAAGATTAAATGGCCTGGAAAAAATGAAGATGAAAGTACCAGGAACAAAACACTAAGAAAAGCAAAAAGATTTAGGACTTCATACCAATCCATTATTCTATAAAATACGCTTCATAATTTAAACAAATGGGCTGATCATTTTGCTCATTACGCCTTTCAAATGGTAAAAAGTCCCTTTAAACGCAGAGATGGAGAAAACGAGGACTGAATTGCTTCATACTGCCTCAGTTAACCCTGTGGGTCAGTTAGTTAGAAAGCCACAAAGAAACAGAAAAGACTTCCACAGCCTTTTTTCCCAGATGTAAGTTAAATCTTTCTATAACAAGGAAATCAAATACCTTCTAATTTTTTTCCCAGGTGATTCATATTTGAAGCCCATTGCTGTAAATTGCTTCTAAATCTACAAATGTATCTCTACATTTTATAAATATTTTTGAATAAGAAAATAGTAGGACCTGTGTTTTGTGTGAACTTTCATGGCCTTTGGGAAGAAGAGTGACAATGATTTCTGCATCTACTTAGACTGCATGTCTTAGTTTATTCCCTCCCAGTATTTCATTAGCATTTTTTAAATTGCCACATCTGTACTTACGATATGAGTGTCATCCCCACAAATTACCATTTTTATGAGTAGAAGGGACAAGAAGAAGTTATTGATATAGTAAGCTGTATCACAGGCAAGGAAATAGTTCCAAATTTCCCCCAAATTTGGCAAGATTTTACAGGGGTTCACAGAATTGCCAGTGGTGCTGCTCCCTTCACAGTAAGCACTGCAGACCATGCAAATTATAAAGCAGCAAATTGCACTGAACAGTACTACCAGTCACGCACCTGCTCTGTGGAGATATTTTTATAAATGACCGTCTGATTCCACTCAGGATTCAAGCTTTTCTGTACATACTTAGTTCTCCGCTTGTACTCAGCACTGAATTTGAACAAAGAAAGGAAACATTACATTAGCGATCTTTTGTTTCTTTCAGATCTAATGCAAAAAAACACCCACAAACCAAAAACCAGAAAAAGAAAAGAACTGCATCTCTCATTTCTGCAAGAACTCAGGGTTACAAGAGGACAATGACAGCCTTTGGGTTTTTTTCTTTAGTATGCTTTACTGACAAGGTCTTTTAAAAAATCTTCTTGACTCTTCAGCAGGCTACTCTGGCAACAACCATTTCAACATAAAGCATCAGTCAGTATATGCACATATACTTTGCTCTCTCACTGCAGGTGTTGGGCTCTGATTATAAATTGAACTGATAACGCATCGATTTCTTTTTCAAGGCCACCCTCCTATTAGCACTTTAAAGTAACATGAACCCATTGTATTTATAGGTTGCAGTCTCTAATTACAGGAGTCCCATCTCATAAGAACATTTCATGAATGCCTGTTAATGATAGAAACACTAATTTCTTATTGATCATGTTCTCTGTATATACCTCTAACTGTATTGGAAACAAAGACAAAAGTGCATAAAGCTCATGATTGTTTTTATAAATAGCCAATAATAAAAAGTTCGGCTGCATAATCTGTTTTTAAAAACAATCAGTAGTGCTTCCTATTGTACTTCGCATTTCCTGAGTGTGGAGAAAGCAATACACCAATCTTTAACAGAATATGGATTCATCTAGCTCTGTGAGATTTGATGTCCAATTTGGTTCCATTACAATTTAATTTAATATAAATTTTAATGGACATCTCAAAAAAGCTGGGTAGGAGAACATGAGAAGCTTTTAATACTTTGAAAACCAACAAGCTATAAGGTAAAGAACCTCTTTTTGCCAGTCTGTAAGTCAACTACTCTTTGTCTTCTGTTCAAACCTCCCATATGTAAAAGGACTTACATGCTATATCTATTACTAAACTAAATGTGCCCAGGACTGTTCTCCAGTGCTAAGGCCAAATGGCAGAGAATGACCTATATCTGCCCTATTAAACTCTCTTATGGATCCCCTACATTAATTTTTGGTAGCATGCTGTTCTGATTCTCACTTCTGACTTTTGATTGAACTGTGGTTTGGTTCACACTGTGGCATGGTCTCAGAGCTAATGAACTAGATTCCTTTGATATGAGATTAACTCAGAAGATGCACTCCAAGGACTCCTTTCATCAAGTAGTGACTAATGGCGTACCATGCACGGTATCAGATTAGAGCGTGTCTGAATGAAGATTACGTGAAAGATGCATGTGTTTTACTGGCACATGTATGTCAATGTTGGGTCTTCAGCACCCGCAGTTTCACTCTACAAACTCAATGCTACTGTGCAGTGCTGTTCTCTAGTTATTCTGGTGTACCTAGTAGCCTCCTTCTCCAAAAGGGGTTCGCCATATCCAAGCTGCCTATGAGACTGATATCTTTTAATGAAAGGGAGTTGCAGTTATTTTTGCTCTTAGTTTTTGTTCTAGTCATTCTATGCAGTTCCATTTATTTTCTTGCAAAACATGCTATCCACTGTCTTCCAGTTCATCGAAAAATGTGAAGGACATTGGAACCTGTGAAACAAAGTATCTGTCCACCTCTGCTTACAAGAAGAAAGCAGCAGTTCTCCATAGTTCAATCAGTTCTGTCAGCCACAGCATACAATGCTGTATTTTGGAAAAATAAAGGAGATTTCCTTTTTCTTGTGTGTCAGTAAGAAAATAATGAATTAAAATCTAGTGGGACCGAGAGCATATGAAAAAAGCTCATGCACAGTTACTTCTTTGCATATCTTGGAAAGAAAGCTGAAATACAAAATCTGTATCCTTTTGGAAACTAGATTTTGATGGCAAATCCTATTCAGTAATGCACTTAAATTTAGAATTTGTGCTGAATTACTATTCTTATGTACTTAGTCTGGGCTAATATTAGCATATCTTGAGAACAGAGTTTTGCCTTATGTTTCCAACTCCAGGGCAAACAAAGCACTAGTAATTTCAATAACTAAAAATTCAACTTTGTTTACCACAAATAACCATTTATGTGATAAAGCAGCTTTAAAGCCAGTTGGGCAATTATCTAGAATTATACCTGGCTTTCATGTCTATACACTGTGCAAAGTACACAGAGAAAAATATTCCATTTCACTTCCAAACAGTGCCTGGGTTTTTTTGGCAGTAACATCATTCAAAATCTTGATACAAGTCCACAGTTAATTATTTTGCAACTTTCAGTGAGTGAGTTTTTAGATATCTCTGAAGCAAATTCTTCCAGACTTCAAAATAAATTTTGTCATCAGAGTTTAGCCCTAGAATATTACCGCATGTTAATTACTTGTTTCCAGGTCCTTCTGACCTGGAAATGGGATTCATTAGAGAATGAACAGCAAAACTATGCTGCAATTGCGTGCCATCAAAACTCAAGAGAAACCTGTAGTTCAATGCACAGGCTTATCATATAATGCATGCATACAAAACAGAAAGAATAAAATTGGAACATAATACACTCTACCTTGCATTTTGGACAACCATGACTTGTCTGCATACCCAGCATTTACAAAGTTAGGAACACAGAGGAAGCAGCGTGACAGAAAATGAGAACAGAGATGAAAGAAAACATGTGAATAATGGGCAGTTTCTAGTATCAGAATCAAAGGAAATAGAGGCATTAGGAAGAATAAGAAGTCTAGCATGGACTGAACTACAGATAAAAGATATTCAGTAGCAATTCAAGTTTCTGCTTTCAGAAATGATTTTGGCACTTTTGAGAAGTTCTTCATTTTCATTATTCCCTAAAGCCCCAAGTTACATGCAAAACTGTAACATTGCCATGGTTTAAAATAATGAACCCAAACAAAACTAAAATCCAAATTCTTCGTAACTTGGCAGCAATTTTAAACCTATACTTGGATCTGGCTTAGACCTCTGCAGGGTGAACCTTTCTCTACTTCAAAGCCTTATTTCTACATCAGTGAATGTACCTGCAAAGTTCCCAGTATAGATTGATTTGACAAGTATTTTACAAGACTCTTAGGTGCATTAAAAAACCACTCAAGATTTAGGACCTGTTCCCATTATACTCAGTAATAGTTTTGGGCCCAGTGCCACTGAACGATATTGAATGCTGTATAGCTGGAATTAGCAAGCTACAAACGAATATGCATGCCTCTAGTTGTACCATTCATGTGCTTTTGGCAGTGATTCCCCATATGCCAAATGCTGAACTGTGACCCAAGCATTCACTTTCCTGTTACTTTGAATGAAACAGAAATACAGATTTTTAGTCTCATGGTTCTAATCTAAGAGTCTTTTAGGATGGTGTGATTACACGTGCAGAGAAGTTTGCAGGAATTTGTCTTTACCACCTAATGTCTGATCCACCAGCTTAATTTTATATATATCCATTGTGTCACTGAAGTCAGCAGGATTATAACCATATATACTTATGAATACATATGATATTTTGCAACTTTAGGGCACAAAAAAGAGTTATTGCTCTTATATTGCTGATATAGAAATATACCTTTTAAAGGAAACAGTAATGAGCTATGTGTAATTACAAAGTCTAAAAAAGCAACGGTCTGCGAAAAAGTGATTAGATACAACATTACCAGAATTTATAAAACCACATCTTAGCTCTTAAAAAAAAAGCCATTAAAAATCACATGGAATTAATGTTTTCTGTCTAGTATTTCTTACCTTTGATATTACACTGCAACCTTAAATTTATCTAAGATACTGTAATTCTGCAAATTTGCAAATCTGTCCCAAATTCAGAACGCTTTGAGCTGCAACTACCATCCCATGTCAACCTTGCCATGTAACTTTCTATATTACAGAAAGTATTAAATGTATATTTAGTACATTTCGGTAGAGTCTGGTTTTTTTAATACATATTTTTGCATGCATTAGAATTTTAAAATGGAAACATGAAAAAATAATTAAATCTACAGGAATGATCATGAAGTCCCTGAGGTCATCAGCAAGCAGGCACATTCTCCCGGGAGTAGGATCTGTCTCTCTATTAAAAATCCACCATCTTTCCTGGTGTTGCACCAGGATTTTCTGTATCAATAACTCTCAGTTCTGTTTATTATGACAAGTAAAAAACTTAAATTAAAAGAAAGCTCAGGTTAAAATTTCTCCTACACTTACCCTCTCCCTGGAAGAAGGTAAACTTTAACAAAGGGGTCTGAATAGCCATTGTTGTCTCTGGGAGCAAGGTTTCTTGCCTGAAGGATGTGGATGATAAGGTTGCCAAGGTGTTTGTCATAGCTGATTTGAAGCTAGAGAATTTGTTAAAACACAGTAAGAGTATTTGTTATTTTTTTTTTACTTCCTAAATGATTCAATACATCTCATAAATTCTTTGGATAAAGTAAGTTTTGGACCTTTACTTTGTCTGGAAATAAACACATTTTAAAAGTTTCTGTCTCTCTCTCCTGCCTAGAATGAGATACTAGATGATTATGTTGGATCTTTAAACAAATTTTGCTTTCAAAGTCTGCCATTCACCCATATTGCACCTATATTGATCTATTCCAATCAGAAAAAAAGCAGATGAAATTTGAACCCTGGCTATTATTCTGAGCAATAGACAGCTTATTGAGTAGAAACTACACAAATACTAACTACCTGGAGCCCAAGCCCGGGAAGGATGTTATAATACTGTTGAAAGACACTTCGTACTAGTACTGGAGAGAGGGAATAATAAAGGAAATAAAAGACAGACATCTAAAGGAAGTTAAGCTTCATTCATTCTGCTGCTCCAAGTTCCACTGTTTTAGAAAATTAAAGTCAATGTACCCAAGAGATAACCACAAACTTGGGATTTCATGAAAATAAATACACTGCACTATAAGAAACCCACAGCAGACCTTGCTTACATGTAAAGAGTCTGGGAATTTCTGAAGTAAACCACAACAAGTGCCCAAATATTAAAGATGAGACTTAATTTCACTACATTTTTAGCCCCTTCATGAACGGTAGCATTTTCTATTCTTCTGTTGATATTTCACAAGTCAACATTAAAGAAAGAGGCAAAAGTGAAGCAGTGACTTACATTAGTGACATTTCAAGGGGTTGGAGTTGAATAAGAAATCAGTTAATAGAAATTGTTTTCTGCAAAGTTATTAAGCAGAAAAATGCAGCCAGTACCAACAACAATTTACACAGCAAAACCTATATATTTACCTGAATTTCTCCAGTGATTGGATGGGAAGCAGACTTCGTGGTTTCTGTGGGCTGCCAGATTAAAATACATAAATAAATACATAAGCATACATTCACAAATATACACACGGAAAAAATAGAATTTCAAAGTTAACCAGTTTAACAGGTGTTGTTTATACTACTGTGTTGCCACATAATTTTTTAAAAAAGTTTAATTGTCTCCAATTTGTATGCTCAAAAGTAACAGTTATGGGCTTTCTACAGCACTTAAAGCACAGCCCAGCCATTTTGGACAGCCTTCATGCAAGTACCAAATCAGACAACTTGAACACCAAGGTCTTTACAGTCTGAGCAGACTGGTCACATGGGAAGGCACAAGGAGAAAAAGATGTATAGCATTCACCCAGACTGACAAAAGTGAATGTTGCAAAGAGAAACCAAATACAATGTCAAGTAGAACACAGTCATATTTCTACTGAAAGGCAAAGGTTACAGTAGTTTAAATTGAGTTTAGATGAAAGTGGGTAGAAAGAGTGGAATGAATGGTACTAAAACTGAGTGATGTGTTTAAGTGGATTTCACAATTGCAAGCCATCTCATATAATATTTTTTTGCTTTATTCTGTGTTTTCTGATAATCAGTTCAGCTACACTACTTCATCTTCAAATTCCTCCACACACTTTCCATGACATGAAATGTAAATTTTCTGTCCTCCCCTTACAATGTTGTATAATCGTGCTTGTTCCTTTCTGTTCTCTATTGCTGAACCTCTCTAGGTTGCTGACAAAAGAAATAAAATCCTTGGTGTCTTTTTTTTCCCCTTTTTCTTCACTTCTGTGTGTTTGTAGTTGGAAAATAATGTCACCATTTGCTTCAAATCCTGGACTCTCAAAAATATTCTGTTCTGTTAAACAGTGGTGCCCTTGAGCCACCCTGCACATACCTCTGATCTCCAAACCATCAGTCAAGCAAGAAAGCTCGCTCTGGTTCAGTAGTAGGATTTGAATATATTTGCATTCTTTCCACATCTGCTTCCTTGGTTGATGCAGCAGGAAACAAAGGATGCAAACAAGAACAAACTTACTGTTCTCTGAAGACTGACCTGGAAGTCATCTTTGCCTATTTTTCCAGATGTGACCAGCAGCTTGATGTATTATTCTGTGTAATTAGTATTTCTTTCACTTTCTGAGAAAAGAAAAAAACCATCTGCCTGTTTTTTGCTGTCCTTCCCTCCAAAAAAACCTTTGAGATTTTCTCAAGATGTTGGATATTAATTGTTTTCAATTAGACCAATGCAGACCTCACATCTCCTGGAACAGAGCATGAAGTTAAGGTGATGCACTACCCTTTTCAGAGTTACGATGATGAATTATCCCTTTAGTCACTCAGATCTGCAGAACAGAACTAACCAGAAAAATCACAGCCAAACAGTAGCGCAATGAAAACGTGGGAGAAAAACAGCCCAAACTTGCCTGTTATATAGTTATATTCATTGTCTTGTGTTACTTTATTTTTTTTTTGTTTTACATGCTTTACTTGCCTTTTAGATGTGTTTCTTTATGAACACAAGGTTTTTTAGAAAAAAAAAAGTTGATTTTTCTGGAAATGCATGTGCCTCAAAAATAATTCTCATGGATAATTTTAAAATCAGTGTTTCTGGGTATCTTAAAAAGCCTTTAAAGAAATGTATCCCTCTAACAGCTAAAATAGGACATCAATAGTTTACAGTCTTAAATGATTGATTAGATTAGATTAGATTAGATTAGATTAGATTAGATTATTAGACTGATAGCAAACTACTCCTAAAACTTGCTTGGTCCTTGAAAGAATATTCAAAGAAAGAATTTCACTCCTTTTCCCAAAGACAGGGACCTACCTGCTCACCATGCAGACTTTCAAAGTAGGGTTTAAATGACTTACATTTCTCATACTTGACCTCTACAAATGGATTTTGTTATACTTTAATAGTTCTGATGTCAGTCTCTGCTAGCACTGACAATACTGACAACGCAAGAAAATAACATGGAGTTAGCTGTGCTGTGGCTACAAAATCACTGCTGGATAGTCTAAATGCTCTAATTTTTCCGAAGTTTGAATAGCAAAAATAATGAGTTTGTTCACTCTAAATGTCATGTAATACAGAATCTATTAGTATGGGTACTGAGAAGAAGTTCAGAGAAAAGGGAATGGGCATGCCAAATTTGTGTGGGGACTTCCAAAGTTGGTTAAAGTGGAGTTCCCCTTAGCCATCCAGGTCCATTGCTTTAATCTTCTTGTCTGTAAACATACACGTAGATTTTTATGTTTCTATATCATCATTGTTAAATCTCTGTATTAATTTACAAGGCTGTGATTCAGCATATTAAATATTTTGTTTTCTTTCTGATGTCAGCTGATTTAAAACTGTTCATGAAGAACTACCCAAATATTTCAAAGAAGCATGAATAATTTAGGCTGAAAGAGATCTCTCAAGGTCACCTGGTCTAACCCCCAGCTCAGAGCTGGGGCAACTTTGAAGTTGGATCTGGACCGAAATGAGGAGATGCAAATAAATATCTTCCTTTATCAAGGCCTCAGTGAGGATTAATTTGAAAAGAAGGAAAAGTATTTCACTGCTGACTTCTCTAGGAGCTAAAGGATCTGAGGATTTAGAAAAACAACCCATTCTTCAAGACACAAAGACAACTAAATGTTCCTATAGGGCATTTATATCCTGGATATAATCTGCACCATAGAATGATCATGCATTTACATTACAAAAGAAACAGGCCTGCACAGGATATAGTCAGCTCGAGGCTCCCAAAGGTTAAATCTCTCCTGTGATGGCTAATCTGATTTCTTTCTAGTGTCTTTGATACTCCCTGCATGCACTCACACACCCTGTGTAAGAGCCCATGCTTTGTAATGCCATCGGAGAAGGTTGTCATTAGGATGATGTGAAACTTGTTAATGCCAGGCTCTGATGCTATGCACTATCACTCTCTGTAGTAATGGGACAAAGCATTAAGTATGAGAGAATCAGCTCTGCAGAACATCAGAGACTCCTACAACATTTCTGGAGTGTATATTCTATACAAAAAGCTTAAGCTGCCCCCCCATTTTTACTTACTAAAAATAAGAACAGTTGCAAAAACAAGATCTAGGCAGTTTGGATATTTAGTCTGTCATGATACTTTGGCAAGGCTGCAGCCTGCCTAGAAATGCTGTCAGCCCAAGGCAAAGAGCAGTTCCAGAAAGGATGAGCAGTAGCTTTTTCTTCTAACAGAGCTCAACACCATTATAAACTTGGCCTGCAGTCAATGAACAGAAACTATACAAGTCAACAAGAGCTACAGTTGTTATGAAAGAAACGCCTCTCAACATGATTTTCAGAAACAAGCAAAGAATGTTTTAAATATTTACCTGATTAATTTTGACTTTTGCACCCCCTACATAAAGGCATTAGTTTTAATTTTTTTAAAATTTATTTTATCTTTATAAGCCTCCAGCTGAATTTTCATAAAAGATTACTAAATCCTCTGTGAAGCAGGAAATGAAATTTATGCATCTAACTTTAGGTGACCCGCTACAGTGCAAAGAACCCAGTCTCTTATGTGGACAGAGAGGGGCACCTCTCCAGGATACACTGCATGTCAAGGATTTACGAATCTCCATACATTATGCAGTGAATTTGGGAGGGTGATTCACCTAACCAAATGAAAGGGGTTTCAGTGTAGATAGTGACATCTGCACTAAGAGACCTGCCCTCTCCTTTCCATGCAGTGTATGCACTTCAATGGCAGGTTTCATCCAGTCTCATCAATGGTACTTCAGAAGTGCATTATTCTCACTGGTAAACACAAAGCACACGGCAAACTAGTTCATATGTAGATGTATGCAATATGGAGAGTAAGGTGTAATGCAACCAACTATTCACCCGATGATCAAGTAATTCTGCCAGATCCCTGAAGTTAGGTGCAGTAAATCTCAACATACAGATTTAACTTGTCTATCATGGACTTGAATTAGTTCATGAAAAGTCTGTGAGAATTGCAGCAAGACAGAATTACTATCCAAACCAAACTGATCAATAAATATATTTACAGTTTTTGCTAAATTGCTGGAAGAAAGAGATTTTTGTGTTTCCTGTCACATGACAGTTATGTAGGCACATTAAAGAGCAATCTGAAATGAGCAGGAACCATTTGCTGGTTTTGGTTTGTCCAGTACCTAGCGCATTGTAGTTCAAATCACAGTCGCATCTTCAACAGCACAAAAATACAAACATAGCTATAATGCAGTAGGAACCTGACAGTCTCAAGAAGGAATAAAGATACAGAAAAATAACTCTTTAGAAAGCATCTTATTCGCGATGTGAAGCTTTGCTTCCCATAGTAAGACAGTGAGAAGCTCGTTATTCAGGACAGCAATCAGCTTCACCTATCTTGCAAATAGCTTAGGCAAATGCAGTCTTCGCAGGTTTGATTTGCACTTCACTTAACTTTTTTGACACAAAATGCAAAAATGTGACAGACGACTTTATGATCTAGTTTTCAGCTTCAACTGTGAAAAAATGTGAAACTGTGAAAAACTAAATTCCCACTCTGCTCTTTCCAGGTGTGCAGGTGGGTGTACAAGGAGAAAGAAGTTCAGCTGACAAACGGACAGGATGTGGCAAAGAAAATGAGAAATTATGCTTAACAAGTTCACAGGAATTAGCTGGTAACAA